AAGCATTATACAGGTTGTAAAATTTATAATCTTAATCATATTTTGCTATGTTTTAACCACACCTATCCCATGGTATAATAAAGGTCAATCAAATCTCTCTCCCTCTCTTGCATGTTCAGGTATTGCGTTTATGTATATGTGCACGAGCAGTCTTACCCAGCATTGGTCATAACGGATGGTGTCACAAATGCGTTGGGTTCAAAGGAGGAAAGAATTACCAAGTAGATTGCTGGCAAACTCTTCATTACAAACATGTAATTAATTTTCATTACATCTAAAATAAGCACGAAGTTATACTCTTTCTGAAGTTTCTTCAGAATACGATTTTACGAATGCTTGCTATCTCCGATTACTTGAAAAAAATTTATTAAAAATATGCATATTTTGTGTCGATAAGTTAATTATTACATTCCACAAAAGAAATGTGTCAGTCCGGTAGACGAAATCATCATACCTTTATGTTTTTGAGGTCGCTGAATTCAAACCCAAAATCGATTTAACTCCATTAGGTCAGCTTCGAGGTCAATTTAAGGTCAAATCAAACAAATAAATATGTATTATAACTAAATTAAACCAATATATTTACATGTTTTTGGGATCCCTGAATCTGAATTAAAAGTCAAATTAAGCCTATCACTACGTTCCAGGTCATTTTAAGATCAAAATAAAATCATCAACGGTGTGTCGGTCAAGATATTGTTTTTGTGATTTTAAGGCCGCTGAATCTAAATAATACCGAAAAATCACTTAATCTTCATTTTATTCTAGATTTAGGATTAGGCTGACTAGGTACTTCGTAACTAATTAAGAACTAATAAATTTGAAAAATGTACATTCAATGTTAATTTAATGAAATAAGAAATAAATACGTATAAAAGACATGCGTGAAATCTGTGGACCTGCAATGTGAACTCAGAAAAGATCAGTTTATTTCTTGTCTAGCTATTGTTATCCCTTAATTCAACTTATTATATCGAACTCTTTTATTCTCAAATGATCTGTGGAATGAATATTTGTTATCTTTGTTATGTTTTGAAGGTGAATCTCGTTAGAGCGTTCAGCAGTAATTAGCAATCATGTTTATACCCAACCTACCTTGATACGAATGGTCCATTTCATTCATGTCTTGATGAAATCTTTTCCGCTGCTGTTTACTATAGTCATCTAAATTTAACAAAAAGATGTCTAAGTAAGAATGCATAAAAAAAATACCTTAAATATATTTTCAGATTCATAAAACATTCTTGTTTTCCAAAGTTTACCATTATACTTTATACTATTTGAATACAATTTTTGCTCTTGTGATTCCCTAGAAAATCTACAACGTCCTTAAAACTGAGCGAAGATGCTACTCCAGATCTTTTCATTTTACTAGAAAATTTTATTCTTCAACATTTTGAGAATCTCTGATCTATCAAAAACTTCTTTACCTAATTTAGCATCAGATTATTTTCGGAAACTGTTTTTGCAAATCTTGAAAGCATTCATCTTTATTATTTAGAGATTTTACACATTGTTACATCAATTCTAATTTGAAGTGATCAGGGAGAATAAGTACTTTCGATGGCTTAACTAACCGGTCATTTTTTACGTTTTTGAGTACTGTCTAATATTTTTCTAGTTGGCTAGGTTTTATTTGTAGCAATTAGCTAGATCTCTACTAACTCAGTTGTATTAATAAAAGGTAAATTCAGTATTTTCTGGCTATTGATCTAACGTAAGAATGAGAATTTTTATATCGACACAAATTTGCCAATTATGTTTTTTATATTTGATATTTTCAAGAAGAGTCTATATGGTAGAATTTTTTTTTTCATTTATATCGAAAAAGGGACAGGAATAGAAGCATAACATTAGTATTATGCACTGAAATAGCTTTTAAACTCTTGGTTGACGAATCAATGAATGATCTTCATTGTTCAGGTTTGTAACTATTCGGCTTTAACTTATTCGTCAATTCAAAAATTATAATAAACTAAAGTAAATTTGTCTCGAAAAAAGTAATGATGATATTCTTTATCCTTGTCACGATAATACAAAAATCTTCAGTCTCTCTGCTATTTTTCTAATCAAGATACAAATGCTCTGACCTCTATTTCAGCAAACTCGAATCTCATACATCATTTATTTTCTCTTAAGTTATAATCCTTAATTTATTTTGGCGATACGGTACATATTCATTGAAACTAGAACTAGAGCAAATGTTTGTTTTTCGCTTGCATACTCATAAAAATACATCTACTAACATTTTTTTTACATCAAAAGTGATATTCATATCAATTTCGTTCTTTTCTTCATCTAGTACAGAAGAATATATTGGTTTTATAGGCTTGTAACATTGACATATTTGATATTTCCTTTATTTCTTATATTAATTTCAACAATGTTTGTCATGCAATAGAAGCAATTTTCTTTTTTACGCTGTTTTTTCTTTTTATTAGGTAGTATCATTTTCACATGTGTTTGATTTTTTTCTTGGCATCGCTGTTCCTGTACTTTATGACAAAAGCTAAATATATGATAGAGTACCCAGTCAGATTCTTGAATTTAAAGATCAGATAAGTTCAACAAATTCAAGTAAGTTTTATAGAGATTGTGACAAAATTTTCTCCTTGTCACCAATTCTTTTGCGGAGTAAGTGAGGCACTTTCGCTCAAGGTAATTGAGGGAGAAAAGAGAGGACAGGTCATAAATAAATTATACAAAAATAAGAATCAAATTAAACTTACAATCTACTATTATTAATAATTATTCACACTAAGCATACGCGCGCATAATACAATCTAAAATTATCGACCAACTAACGAAGGAATAGAACAAAATAAACGGTTTAGCATCATCGCGAACAAATGTATCGCGGTCTCTCCTAACTGAACAATTATTAATCACGCACTTATCCTATTTACAAACTTACTTAAAAATTACGCAGAAACCTGTACCGGATGAATTGCCGGGCACGTGGGCGCCTGGACAATTCGCCGGTCGCCATTTACACTACTACAAATTAAACTTAAGCGCCAATCTTTAGATAGCCGGCACGTGAATGCCTGGCTATCTTATTCAACGCGTACCGGTCGTTGCATCACCAGCGAGAGAGCGTAGAGAAAAAGAAGAAATGAAGGTTTGACCTTTCTTGTTAATGTTCCTCGCAACGTAGAGAACCTCCCACAAAGCACTGCTGCAGGGAGTGTCGGTCGTCACTGCTGGTCAGATTGCTGCCGAACGATGCTGGCCAAGATCTGCAGCCGATGTATCTGCAGGAGATGTTGGCCCTCCTTGCAGGTGGGGCTGGCTGTGGTCGCAGATAAAGCTGTTGCCGGTGGAGTTGGCTTTCTTTTCAGCTATCCCCAAAACTGCACTCTCTGCACTCTCTCACGAACATACTCTATTGGCCTCGTGCACGTACTTTTTCTCGCGCTCGTCTCGCGGCCGCTCAGCGGCGCTCGCGCTTCTCCCTACCTGACCTATTAGTTAGGCGGCACGCAACGCGTCGCTTATTGGTCACGCGTCGCGCGCCTCCCCATCCCTGCATAGGCTTAATGCTCGCTCTCTCTCTCTCTCTTTCTTTCTCACTCTCTCCGCGCTCTTTTTGTTGACTCTGATCAATCGCCGTCATATTTACTACAGATGTAACAGAAGCTATTCTTTTCTCTTACTCTAATTTATCAGGAGTTTCAACACGTCTTCCTAAGACTACTAAAAGAAGTTTCCTTGGAACTTTAGAGCCTGTAGTAGCCAAAGAGCCCGCTACTATAAAGCTGTAGTCGTTTAATGACACTTGTTGGCTCTGATCAATCGCCGTTACTGGGGTTTCCCTGTATCGTAAGAATACGTCTGTATCCGCTATGATGACTTGTGCATGCCTTTATCCAGGGGATTTTCCGGAAAACAAAAAAGAAAACAATTTCGTTGCTTGCCATTACCGCGTGGAGCAACTCTGGGGATAGATACAGGCATTCATCTGTTACTTTATATAGTGAGTGAATTATCCCTTCAAATCGAGGAAATAATGCAGAATACAGACAAAAAAGAAAAAAAAAGTATAACCATTTTACGCACATGCACTTGATGACTCGCTTTGACCTTCGACGACTCCCAAAAACATGTAATATGTTAATTTACTTGGTTTGTAATACAATTTAAGCATTTGACATTGACCTGATTTTGACCCTGACCTGACTAGTCAAACGGACCTCGGATTCGAATTCAGTGATCAAAAACATAAATACAGTAGTCTAGTCCACGAATTATCATTTATGTGTTGTTGCGATTGATATATAAACTATATTTTTCATTTTAATCGATCCACTTAAATATCTAGGAAATTTATCTTGGAATTTTATTAAAAATTAGTTTTTGACTTTTGTTTTATATCAGTTTTGATATTGTGATTAATTTTCAAGATCATTTGAAGGTCAAAGTAATTTGTTTTAATGGAAACTCCTATAATATTTACGTGGTTGTTGCAGCGAGCGTGCAGATTAGTCTGCAATAGTAGTACTATTAACCTGCACCAATGCTCGTAGACGTTCGTTTACCGTTTCAGAATTGGTATGTTGCGGCCATAACTTCTTACGGATCACCTGTATCGAGAGGTGCATTCGGTGCATGTCTGTTATTCATTAAGATTAATTATCGTGTTCACCCGATGTTTGACTCTGTGTAACATTTTGTACGCGAAATAAAGTGTAGAATTTTATTTCTATTGCCGTAATAAATTTTAAGTATTGTCAATTTATTAGTAATACATTGGTCTCTTCACTTCTCATATGTGAATATACAAAAGATTCCGTTGTCCACTGAAATTTTCACGGATAGTATTTATCACTCCCAGCCTATATTTAAATAATTTGATAACATGAAGCCTAAACACATTTGAACTGACAATAGTTTTAACTTTGGTTTTTCTCGTTAGATAGTGGATAAACAATATTTTCACATTAATTAATTAATTGATATTTATGAACAAAGATGTTCTATATTATAATTTTAAAAATTACCTTTGTTTTTACCAATATAGTCTAATCTTGATTTCTCGCTTTCATCTTTTCTGTTTTTTTTTATCAAGATATTCGTAACTTGTTTATTACACAGAAGTGTATCTGTTCCTTTATCACATAGGTAATTTTGTTGATAGGAATATACGGGATTGTCAAATTGACTGTGATCTATAAATAAGAATAGTTATAAAAATCTTTTTAAAACTAATTAGGATAAAAATAAAATGTAGACTACTCACCAGGTGATGTTACCGGTTCGGCAATATATTGTACATGAGCTATTTCCATTTTTAAATGTGTAATTCTTTTCCGATGATATATCCACGTGGCAGTAAAGATTATTATACCCATAATACTAGCAAAAATACCTCCTATCACACTACCATATCCTATTTGATTCATTGAGTAAATGTTGTGTGATAATAATTTATTATCGCAATTAGAGCCTACAAGTATGACATGTATCAAAAACAAATAATTTGAAAAAATAAGAATGAATCCATACTTATACTTACCAGAATATCCATGCTTACAAATACAGCCTTCTGCAGGATGACAGATGAAAAAGTCAGATATACATTCACATGCCTCCATACAGTGGTCGCCATAATAGCCTTCTGGACAAACTGATTTTGAGTAAAAATTCATAAGTTAATATATTTGAAGATCATTAATTTATAACAAGTATATTTTGTAGTGAAACTATTTGATTTTACATTTTAGGGTATGAAAGTATAGAATTAGTTACTTTATTTACATAAATATTATAATAATAAAATAGAAACGGAGATTAAAAAACATTTTCGGCGAAAGTTTCGAATAAAATAAAACACCAAATATAATTCGAGGGATATTAATCAGAATTAATGCTCTCTTATATTATTTCAGGTATGTTTGTTATCATCAATTAATGATATTGTTAGGTCGGGTGTGCGCAAGATCATGTATTCTCAAATTTACGTGGAATGAAGGATCTAGAAATGTATATAATAATAAAGAATTAACATCATAAGTAAGATAATTTAAATAGTTTATAATTAGTTGATTCTTTATGGATAATTTTTTGCTCAAAAGTGAAAGATTAATTGAGGCATTTGAATTGACAATACCCATATATCGTAAAAATAAGTTGATAAATGCTATCCACATCCAAATAAATTAATTTTAAATATAGAAAATACCATAACCCAAAGGTTCATAAGTTAATTGACCATTTTTAAAATGGGAATTTTAGAATTTCTGAATATTTATAACGGTGTAAGCTGGTCATTGATTGCACCGTGTATCCTCCTCTCTCTCTTTAACCTCAGGCGCAGACTCATGGCTGGCATCAGACGCATATTCGATCGAGTGCCTGAGGTTTTCAGCAATAATGTTCAGCTAGCTGTAACATCAACAAAAAAGAAAGAGAGATAGAGCGCAGTAACGAGTACGAGCAGTTGAGAAAGAAAGAGAAAGTAACAATCAAGAACAAGAGAGAGATAGAGAGAAAGAGAGAGAGAGTGCGTTGCAATAAGAGCGGTAGACTAGGCACGCAGTACTAGCCGCGCTCAGTGGTGCCGCGTGCAGCTGATTAGACTAGAAAGTAGGGGGAGAAGGCGTGAGAAGCCGGCTCGTATAAATACCGGGTGCACTAGAGAGAGAGAGAGAGAGAGAGAGAGAGAGAGAGAGAGAGAGAGAGAGAGAGAGAGAGAGAGAAAGGGAGAGAGAGAGAAGAATATCTATTGTCGCTGTGAATTTATCAGCAGAAGATGCGAAAGCTGGGGATCATCCTGCGAGGCAAGCCATTCTACTATCCTGTCGATCTATGAGTCATTTGAATCATTCTGCAGAGCCGTCATCTCATCTACAGGTCATTATCTTTCCTCTCATTTCGATAACTCGCGGCTCATGGGCTGTACCAGGCTCTTACGAGCCGGCACGATTATTAGTTTAATAATTCGGTATTAATTATTTAGGTCAGTAGACGAGATTGCAAGACGCTCATGTGCCGACTATGTCGTCTTAGAATAAGTAATTTATTAAGTTAGATTAAGTTGTAAATATGTTTCGGTTAGCAGTTACGAAAGTGCTTTGGTAATAAAGAGTAGTGAATCGATCAAAATTATTGTAACCACCTTTTCTCTCTGCCTTGCTGGGAGCGATACACTGCCTCCCTTACCTTCCCTTTTTAAATAATTAGTAATAGAAAGGATCGTCTGCTATCGACGGCCGACGTTATTACATGACATCATTTGTGGGGATGGGCAAGGCAGTTGGAAAGCGTGATTGCGTGAACGCATATTGATAAATAGTGGAAGTATAAAATTAGTAAAAGTGGGGGATTTTCTTTGTGAACATGGGCAAAGTCGTGTATCGAAAAACAACGTGCTGCCTTTGATAGTGAAGGTTACGAGTATTGGGTTGCGGCGCGGCAAGGTCGTTCACGTCGGCACATGCTCGCTCCGTGGAATTTCGAGAGTTCGAGTGTTTGTTTACGTTCGATCGACGTATTCTTTGGTGGTCTTAGGTGAGGCGATAACTTTCCAGCCTAAAACACAGAGGAGACGAGGATAGTTTTCTTTTTACTATTATTACTGTTTTAGTTATTTCGTTCTTTTCATATTGTTGCGAGTTTGACTGTCCGTTAGCAGTTCGTCTGCGCCGTCGCTTTCATATTTTTTTTATTCTTTTTTTATAAATCATTTAAACAAAATTATATAAATAAGTAATTGATTGCGATATGCTGCTAGCATGTAAAAACCGAATAATGATGCGTAGGCTGCTTCGCGACGTGCGAGTCAAAGAAGTTAGGCGCCACATTAATTCGACATAGCCGTCCACGTTGTTAGAATTGGTGCGTTATCCTAAGCTCTCCTTGTACGACAATTTGGAAGAGTTGAAAGGTACTTGCGTTTTACGTTCGTGTTGGAAAGACCAGAACTAGGGCCACCGTTACAACCGGGCGACTTTAAATCAAGTCGCGTACTTGATTTATCGTAAGACGAACCTACACACGCGATAATTAGCAACAACGAAAGCCAGACTAAAACAGTCGAACCGATACAATTGCATCGCCAAAGGCAGCAGAGTTGACATTACTGGAGCAGGCGACGCGATGGCCAGAAAGTGTTGCCGCTCTGCCTGAGCCAGCTCAGCCGCTGGGCGCTAGGTCAAAGACTTCCATTCGTGAGGAAGTAATTCTGCCGGCAACTAGTGCCATAAGAACAGCTACACCAGAGTTAAGCATATGTGCATCAGCTGCGCACGAAGTAGTGAGGCGTAGCGTCGGCACTTTGAGTTGATTATGGGGCGCTATAATAGCTGTACCGCGATGGATTTAGCGACCAGAAGTGCAACAAGGTATCACCAATGGTACTAACACAGTCTATAGGGTAGAAAGAGATGCAATGTAGGGTAGAACGAATCAGGCTGCGCAACAGGCTCAACAGCCGTTGCAAGCCGATCCGGCGGTCGACCGCGCAGCGCTTAACGTGCCAGCAGCCATCAGCCCTGTCGAACAGATTCGCTCGAGCGTTCTACCGTGTCAATAAACGCCAGTGAATCACATTCTTTGTCCCAAAAGCACCATTGTAACTACACACAGACTACTTCCGGTACCTGATATAGAGTTATGGATATGCGAATGGAAAGGGGCTGTGCAAGCACCTTGTAAAGAACGTATGTACGCAACTAAATCAGATGAAGAGGACTCAGAATAGATATATTACTCCATACTCCATGAAAAAATATACAAAAAAATCATGTTAGATTTTGCTTTAACCCATTACGGCCTAGCAGGACGTTTTTCGGTTGCACTTTTGAACCACTGTATTTTTAGTATAATCGGGGTCTCAGAAATATCGGAGTAGTCATTTTCGACGTAAAATTTGATGATCTTTCAGAATCTGACCTTTGATTTTGCAAAAGATGAGTGGTTTAAAAGTTATAAACAAATTTATTAAAAAAAAACATGGTTTGAGAAAAAAAAATCGCTTTCATTTCGATTTTCAAAATGGAAATCATTGAAATACTTGCGTCATACGTACAAATATCGCGTTTTCGAACCCTAAACTAATAGTTATGACGATTTAGATCGACTGAAAAACGTTTAAACGCACAAAATGGCGGCCAGGCCCAAAAAAATGAAATAAAAAATTTCGGAATTTTTAACTCGAAAACGAAGGCCTTTAGGGAAAAAAGTTATAGAACAAAAAGTGCTTAGAATATATCAAAAAACTCGTGTGAATTTTTTCAGAATTTTCGGAGGTGATTTTGTAAAATCGGATTTCCCATATTTTCCGAAAATCTAAAAATCTATCAAAAAATTCTGAAAAAATTCACACGTGTTCTTTGATATCTTCTAAGCACTTTTTGTTCTATAACTTTTTCCCTAAAGTTCTTCGTTTTCGAGTTAAAAATTCCGAAATTTTTTATTTCATTTTTTTTGGCCTGGCCGCCATTTTGTGCGTTTAAACAGTTTTCAGTCGATTTAAATCGTCATAACTTTTAGTTTAGGGTTCGAAAACGCGATATTTGTACGTATGACGCAAGTATTTCAATGATTTCCATTTTGAAAATCGAAATGAAAGCGATTTTTTTTTCTCAAACCATGTTTTTTTTTAATAAATTTGTTTATAACTTTTAAATCACTCATCTTTTGCAAAATCGAAGGTCAGATTCTGAAAGATCATCAAATTTTACGTCGAAAATGACTACTCCGATATTTCTGAGACCCCGATTATACTAAAACTACAGTGGTTCAAAAGTGCAACCGAAAAACGTCCTGCTAGGCCGTAATGGGTTAATTTAATTAAAAATGTAGGTGGCAGCAGGTATGCCATAACGGTTGTGAAACACTAGCAAACTAAGCAAATGATAATATTCGAACACAATCGGCTTGTTTTATGATCATTATCAATTTTAATCTACTTTATCCTATTGAGATAACAACTTTTATAATGATGTAATGTTGCGGCTGGTTGAGGCGCGAAGAATCGTTCAACAATTTTAAGGTATATAATACGTCTTAGCAGTAAAATACCGCTTGCTCGCGACACTTCTTGATTTTTCATCTTTTTTGGCGTAAATTTATCCCATAATAGTCGTTAACGCCGTTAAACCATTTCGATACCTGAACAGTATGAGTAATCGATTGAACGCTCACTGGATACCCACCGAGAGAAGAAAAATTATAATCAGTCGATCGAGCTACCATCGCAAGAAAATCAGCGCCGATAAGCTAAATGCGTACAGAAATGTATCATCAGCCTGCGCTAACCTTTTATAAAAAAAGGATTTTGATTTTAGAAAAAAAAAATAATGCGAGACTAAAGATAAATATCGGTGTGATAAAATTGGTTAAAAATATTGTAGAATGTAAGAAAAATCTGTAATCGAATTTGTTTGTAATCTTTTCATATTTATTTACAAAATCAAAGCATATTTATACCAAATCTCCAAACTCAACTTCTAATGTATGTTCAGTATGAATTTAGCCATTAATGTATTGTCATCTGCGATAGCAAAGAAAATCGTTTACATTGTAAGAGTTAAAAGAAAACATCTAAATGGGAACACTAACACGAGTCGAGAGTCAAGTTTGGAGGAATGACAGAAAAGATTTAATCTCTCATTTGTCATTTGC